GAACATCATCGATGAAGGTGACGAAGGCGTAGGCGACAACGTAGGCACACTGGACGAGACCCAGACCCAGACCCAGACCGGGGCCGAGGAAGAGGCAGAGTCGGAGGAAGTACGTAGGGCACGAATCCTAGAGGCCGCTTTCGACGAGGACGAGGCCGAGTTCAGTCCTTTGAGCTCAATTGACGCCGACACAACTCTGACACCAAAGGTCAAGGTCGAGGGAAGGTCGAGGGTCTTGGGACCTCGAAAGGGTGGAGACCTGCCGAGTTTGCAGGAGCTCTGCATTCGAAAGCTACTCAGCCCCTACGACGTGACGGAGGATCAGGACCAGGACGGATTCTTCTCCCCATTCCTCTCCCCCTCTGTCTTCTCCACCAGGTCCAGCAGCAGTCTGAGGAGGGCATCCTCCAGGGTGTCTACCCCACGTGGCTTGAGACCGGCCTCTCTAGGAAAAAAACGCGGTGCGGGCCTGACTGAAAGGATCGATTCATTCGCTTCTTCGTCCTCCTACAGCCCATCGGGCTCGAGGGGCGCCAAGCGGATCCCGACGCTGATCGAAGCGTACGAGAATGGGACTCTGCAAAGCTTGAATGGAGAGTTGGGACGGGGATTGGTACCGCTTCTGGAAGCTGCCAGGAGGAGCGCGACCGGGGACTGGGGAACCAAGATGAGGATGAAGCGGACCAACTCGAACAGGAAAGCGTTCGAACGGGTTCAATCCGCGCTTGGCGCATTCCCCACCAGGGAAGCCCCCTCCACGGGAAAGGCGGCTGTCGGAGCCGGCCAGGACGACGCCAAGGGCGGAGACAGCGGGCGAGAGGAGCCAGACCCGTTCGGAGGCGTTGAAGTCGTCGGGTCCTTGGACAGAGGGGATGATGCAAACGAGAATCCATGGTTCAGTCGATGTCCAAATCCGAGGCACTTGGAGGGATCGAACGATCATCTGAGGTCAAAGCACGCGACACCCGCTAGATGGGCAGGTGGCGAGCCCAGGCTCCTGCTCGACAGATCTCGGACGTTCGGCTCGACCTCGTCCGTCTCCAGCCTTGGAACTGCCCTTGGCGGTGGCGGTGGCGGTGGCGGGGCGGAGAGCAGGGGAGGCGAAGCGACTGTCGGCTCCAGTTCCAGCACGGGGACCAGTAACGATGGAAGGCTGACACCAGACTTTGACATGTCCGGGAGCACGTTGAACGAAGGCGGGCTTGGACCTTGGCCAACGTTCGCAGGGACGCCGCAGGCCAACCATCCAAGTTTCGGAGCCAGCTCTACGAGGAACCCTTCGTTTTCCTCGTCCGGACTTGGCTCGGGGCCTAGAAGGAGGCTGGATGCGACGACGACCACCTCCGGAGGCGCTCTTGGGCTAGGCAGAACCTTTTCGAGGGGCTTCTCGACCGCTTCGGCTTTTGCGCGCCCCTCGCCATCGTCTCCGAGCAAGATCGCGGGAAGGGACTGGCCGTTGGAAGAGGGTCACGAGCAGGTGTCTGCACCCATCTTTCGCCATTGCGTCGAGAGCCGATTGGAGTGGGTGAGCCACATTGGAGGGAACAAGATCGCGAGCGTGAGGGAAGTGGAGGTCGAGATCGACCTGAACGACGAGGAGGCAGGAGGTCTCGGTAGCGGCTCGGATCCTGGAGAAGACGAGTCGCCGCCCGCCGAACAAGGTGAGGGAGCCGACATCAACAGCGCGGGAACAAGTTCCAACGGGGCAGGCGGAGGGATGAACCGGTTGAACCAGAGGACGAGCAGCGCGGTCAAGATCGCCTTGGAGAAGAACGGCTTCATCCCCATCCTCTGGAGGGGCTGCAGCAAGGGCTGCCTTGACTTTTTGGGGTGATTGTGTGGGTTGGGAGAGGGTCCATGACGAGGAGGGGAGGAGACGAAAGCGGGGAAGGGGGGGGTTCCAATGTAGGCTTTCCCCCTCGACGGCTGAGAGAGGGAGAGAGAGAGTACCGATCGCATCGCACGCATACACACAAACACACACACACACACACAGAGTCTCCTTCAGCAGAGTGACCGAGAACAGCATTCCATCAGAATCTCGTCGAAATCGAACCGAACCAACCACCTTTTGGCTTCTGGTGGGACGCTCTGGTGTTCATGACGGGGGTGTTTCCAAGCCTGAGAGGGGATGGTGGAGAGTGAGCGAGCGAACTGAAACCACCAGTCCATGTCGGTTGTCACGATGCTGTGGTGGTGGGGGTTGGTTGGGTCCCTACGCTTGCTGAGAATCAAGGTGTATGCGAATGGGTTGCTCCTTCCTCTTTGGGTGGAAAAAAGTGAGTGACATGTGATTTACAGACCTGGGCGCGTGATCCAGATCTGGAACTCGATCTAAACCGTGTGTGATTCGGTTTGCGTAATTAATATTGAACTGGTTTGGTTCGAAATCTTCTTCTTCTTCCACCCTGGCAAGGAGGCCGCCTCGCTCCAGCCCCCCGCCTTCGAGTCGTGTGCGTGCGGGAACGGGAACCCCTCCCGTGCTAAAAGCCGGTCGACGAACAAGCCCGGGTCAGGGTTGGTTGATCCTCGCCACCTACCTTACCCCCCCCCCCCCCCTCCCCGCTCCTGAACGGATCAAGACCAACTCGGTACCAAGAAATCACCAGGTCGATCCGCTCTCTTCACAGAGGAAGCAAGGAAAAGGAAAGGTTTTCGATCAGGCTTACCCTGACCACATCATCACTTGCAACACCTCACTACCAAGCGCATACACCCACGCACCCCTTACCCCCCTCGTTTTCCCCTTCGTCTGCCGCACGGACTCTACCCCATCCTACCCGCAACCATGAGCAAAAGCAACTCTGAGTTAAAGTGAGATCGTTCCTAGAGGGAGGAAGGAGAGGGGGTTAAGAGAGGCAACGAAGCTGGGAGAGGGGAGCAACCCTCCTCATCGATCTCCGTCGAAACCCTCCTGGCCCAACTTCCTGCTATCTAAGCTCTTCTGACACTTGCCTTTTCCACCGCCTCCCTCTAGCTCCATCCTTCACTCGGGTTACCAGCACCCGACCTCTAGAGCTTGGCAGTCGCAGGGGAGGAACCTGACCAAGTCCATGTTCATGTACCCTCGTGAGTCGAGTCTTTCTCCTCCCTTTTTCCCGCTCGCCACCTGTCCACTTGCCTCGCCTTCTCGAAAAAATCCTTGACAACCGCAACTCTCCTCCCTTTCCACTCTCTCCTTGGGCCACCCCGCCAGTCTTCATTACCGACGACGACGACGCCGAGGTGGAGCTCGCCTCGATGCCGGGCCAGAAGAGATGGGGAGTCAACAAGCTAGAGGCGTTCCTAGCACCCTTGGTTCAGAAAGGCCTCGAGTCGGTCATCCTCTTTGGTGTTCCTCTCAAAGACCCCAAGGTGCGTGGTCCAACCCTGCTCGTTCTCTCCCGCCCTTTTCCTCTCTCCTTCTCTGTCAGGAAGCCCGAGTTACTTTCCAAACTTTGGTCCTCTGGTACCTATCACAATGCGGGTGGAGAGAAGGAAACGTTCTACCCAACTTTCTCTCACCCACAGGACCACGTTGCAGAGGGCGAGAGAGCGGGCCCTGTCGCTCAGAACACCACTCGTACATACGAACGCACGCATACACAAACTGACCCCTCCCCCCCTCTCTCTCTCTCTCTCTCTCTCTCTCTCTTCCTGAGCAAAGGATGAGCGGGGTACTCTAGCCGATGATCCACAAGGTCCGGTGATCAAGGCGATCCGACTGCTTCGAAGGGCCTTCCCCTCGCTCTACGTGGCCACCGATGTCTGCCTCTGCGAGTACACCTCGCACGGCCACTGCGGGATCCTCTTCGAGGATGGAACGATCAACAACGAACCCTCGATCGCCAGGTTGGCCCAAGTCGCGGTCAGTTACGCCAAGGCAGGAGCCCACTGCGTCGCTCCTAGTGACATGATGGACGGAAGGGTCAAGGCGATCAAGCAGGCCCTGCTGAAAGAGGGCCTGGCAGGGAGGACCACCCTGATGGCCTACAGCGCAAAGTTTGCGAGCAGCCTCTATGGACCTTTCAGGTGAGGGGAAAAGATGAGTCGACGAGGCGAAGTCGAGCACTTGTATCTCGGTTGCTTCTGGATCTGGTTTCTCGCACCAACGAGGAAGAGGGGGTTTGGATTCTGTTCCCCTATGAAGGTTGCTTGCGCGCGCAAGGGAGGACAAGGTCCGCTGACCACCCATCCGAACATACACCCACTCGGCGGTTCTCACTGTTTCCTTTTTGATCTCTCTCCACCCCCTTCCAACTTGTCCCAGGGACGCCGTCGACTCTGCGCCTTCGTTCGGCAATCGAAAGTGCTACCAACTACCTCCTGCGGCCAGGGGCCTTGCTCGGAGGGCTGTTCTCAGGGATGTGGACGAGGGCGCCGACATCATCATGGTCAAACCGACCTTGCCTTACCTCGACATTGTCACCGAGGCAAGGGACCTGGCACCCAACCACCCGTTGGCTTGCTACCAAGTCAGCGGCGAGTTCGCCATGATCCACGCGGGCGCCAAGGCCGGAGTCTACGACCTGAGGACCATGGCGGAGGAGACTGCCATCAGCATGGTCAGGGCAGGAGCCACACTGATCCTGAGCTACTTTACTCCAGAGTTCCTCGACGTGAGTCCACAAGGATCAATTCAACCACAGCCCTGCTCCGAGACGCTGGCTCATCGTTCATCCCTCGATTCCCACCCACACTTCTTCTTCTTCTCCTTCTTCTTCCATCCTTCTTTCAGTGGCTGGACTAAATGGGGGTGGTGGGCATTCGAAAAGAGGAAATCCTTCGTTGCAAAAGAAGGAACAGACCGATGAACCGATGCATCTTCCCATCTTTGGCGCATGATAGTGAGGGTTCGTTTGATGTAATTTTTTTCGATCTTCCCCTGACTCGGGTTTGGAGGGTGGCAATGTGGAAGAGATCTGGCTTGGAGAACCAACGATTCCGCTGTTTCTATTGAATAATGGAAGCTTAGAGGAAAAGAAAAAGGGGGGAGAGAAAAGGCGGGCAAAAGAATTTCGAGGTCGTACCGCGAATCGAACGCGGGTCTTCAGAAAGACGTTGTTGCCTGATCGATCAGACAGAGTCAGAATCTGACGTCATAACCATTGGACCATACAACCTTGCTTGCACTTCATGGGAAATAGCGCAAATATAATCCACCGAACCATTGTGCCTGGTTTTCTCCGCTCGCAGCTGTTGGACACTTCAAACTGCTTCCCTGTGTAACCCAACCTTCGTTCGGACCTTTCTGACCTCGCCAAACTTGTATCGATCTGAAAATCGATGTGGGGATCGTTCTCCTGACCATAGAAGCACTCACGGAACCAGCATTCCTACTTGGAGGGAAGGGTTGAAGATGGAGAGAGGGGCTTGGAGCCATGAGGGGGAGGATGTTGATGGGAGGCAAGTTGCTGGCTCTTGGTGCACAGGGCATCCTCCCCAGGTAGGATGGAATCGGCACGCGCGAGAGTTTTCCTCGTGTTTCATCAATAATTCTGGATCGTCGCCATTTCTTTCCTTTCCGCCACCACAACGTCTCCTTTCTACCCGTCATCCCCCCTTCAGAGACAGGTCAACAAAACCCCTTTCACAACAGACCTTCAGCTGTCCCACTGTTTCGCGCCACTGGTTCAACCTCTTCAAGCTACAGGTCGACCAACCTCCCCACTTCCTTTCCTTGGGCCATCGAGTCCTGGTGCTTTCCTTCAACAAGCTGGGGCTTTTACCGCCACCCAGCCCCCCCCGGTGTCTACCATCTCATAAGCAAAGGAACATCACCCCTTGATTGCACGAATGCAACCGAATTCCAACCACCAACATCACCACCATCACCATCATCTCCCCCCTCCATCCTACCGCCAGCGTTCGCCAGAGATGCGTCCCTCAGCGCCTCCATCGGCTGGCTCCCCCGGTGGCCTTCCCCCGCCTCCCTTGAGGCAACCTTACTCGGGTCCACCCACTCCGTCAGCTTCGGCCTCTCTCTCACCTCAGACGACGAGGAACCATACCCTCCCTCCTCTGAGGCCTCCCCCATCCTCCGACGATCTTCCGTCACGGTGGAGGCAGCCGCCACCTTCAGGTTCTCAGAGGTCGGACCCGATGAGCATGAGCTCCATCCTCGGACCCTCGCCCACCTTTGATCACCCTGACTTGCGTCCTCTCCCCAGGCCTATGGATCAAGGCCGTTACCCTCCTCCCCCTTACCACCAACAGGAGAGGGAAAGGGATCGCGAACGAGATAGGGACAGAGAAAGGGAAAGGGATAGGGATAGGGATCGAGATCTCGTGCGCGATCGTGAGAGGGAGAGGGAGAGGGAAAGGGAAAGAGGCAGGCACTCTTCGAATCCCTATCCCAACTCGTCTGTTCCTCCACCTCCCAAGGAACAAAAGTCTCCCGTTCAGCCTTTCACAGCTCCCCCCACCGCTGCCTCGAGCCCTGCTGCTGCCAATCTGGCGAGGAGAAAGTGGAGTGGCCCCATCGCCGAGGAGGCAGCGGCGCAGGCTGCGTCCTGGAGGGAGAGGGAGATGGGTAGGTGGAACCCTTCGAGACCTGGTAACCACTCTAGGCAGCCGAGTGGCGAGTCGAGGTTCCCGCCTCCTGGTACGCCAAGGGACCCCGAAGCTCCTACCACTCGCCCTGTCAGCCCACCTTCGACGCACCCAAGTCTTGGACCTCCCAATCCACCCAACCCCACCATCGGAAGGCCGAGAAGGAGCCGAGAGCACAGCGGCGAGATGCCTCCCGGCCATGGGCCCCCTCCTCCAATGTCAGCTTACGACGGCCAGTCGATGCACCCATCTCCCTACTCGCAGCACGGCCATCAGCATCCGCATCAGCAGCCCTCTTCGTACGATGAGCCTCCAAGGCGACATGGTGGCCCTCCTCACCAGGGCCCTTCGCTTGCTTCAAACAGGACACCTGACCGACCCTCAGCGTATGAGACGTATGAGGACAGAGAGAGGGAGAGGGAACGAAGTCACAGGGAGAGAGAGAGGGAGAGAGAAAGAGAAAGGGAGAGGGAGAGGGAGATGGAGAGAGATCGTAACAGGGAAAGGGAGAGAGAGAAGGAGAGGGAGATGGACAGGCTCGGAAGGGTTGACCAGCCTGTAGAGGAAGGCTACGATCGAAGGGGGCCTCCGATGATTCCCTCCCAGCAGCAGCAGCAGCAGCAGCAGTCAGCCCTTTCGTCAAAAGCCTCTGTCATGGGCCGCACTATCGATGATCGAGGAGCCCCTCCTTTCCACTCCACGACGAGTCCGGTTCTGTCGAGAGAGGCCGATCGGAGGAAAAGGGAAACGGAGAGGGAGAGGGAGAATGCCATGCAGGCCTCCTACGGAGCGCGAGAGGCTCCGCCATCCCAACGCCAGCAAAGGGAGAGGGAGACGACTCCAAGGATTCACGGCAGGCAGCCGCTCACCCCTCACGAAATGGTCCCGAATCATCCACACTCCCGTCCTCTCACGTACTCCCCCGTACAGGAGAGAGGCCCCCTTCCTGCTATTCCACAGTCGGTCCCACCTCCACCTCCAGTCGTTCATTCGCCCAGCTCTGTTAGGCCTCCAGTTCAATCTGCAGTCCCGGCTCCGCCACCCGCTCCCGCCTCATTCGGGCCCACTGTGGAAGAAAGGGAGCTCGAGCTGGCGCGTGAGAGGGAAAAGGAGAAGCAGCTGCAGTTGCAGCGTGAGAAGGAGATCCAAAAGGAACTCAAGGCGAAAGAGAAAGAAGCCAAAAAGGCCAACAGGGAGAGGGAAAAGGCAAAGAAGGCTGCGGCGGATAAGGCTGCTGCTGAGCGCCAATCTCAAGCCCAGGCCCAAGCTCAGGCGCAGGCTCAGGCTCAGGCTCAGGCTCAGGCTCAGGCTCAGGCACAGGCACAGGCACAGGCTCAAGCAGCAGCTGCTGCTGCTGCTGCCGCAGAGTCGCGCCCCATCCCCGGGATGATTGTGGAAGATGTGCACCCTCATGCTCATCCCCATGCGCAGATGATCCAGACGCAGATGGATTTGGCAGGTCAAGGCGCTTACCCTATCGATCTTGGAGGATCGATGGCTTCCGCCGCTGCGTTCAACTATGGGCTTCAGGTGGGTTCCAACCCCACGGCCTTGATGCAACTTCCTCCTGTCCCCGTCAGGGATCCGAATGCCGGCCCGCGAGTTGACTCTGAGCCGGTTTGGGTCTACCTGGAAGCCTGCGAGCACGAGGAGGCCATGCTGAGAAGTTCTGAAAGGTTGCGAAAGCAAGCCGATCCGGTAGAAACCCAAGGCGCCGAGGACGCCGGTGGCGAAAAGTCAAAACCCGCGCCAGGAGATTCGAAACCTCTCCCCGTCAGAAGCTCCCCCGCGGACCCGTTGCCCAGCCATCTGATCGGCTTGGACAAGGGACGTCCCGTGAGACATCTCGGCTCCTGGTTCTACGACCCGACCATCGACCCCCTGCTGCCCGGAGAGTTGATCGCGAGCAACGTCGGGGCAACTGTGGAGGTCAGGATCAGTGGTGAGGCCCTCGGAAATGGGCCCATCTGGGACGTTGGTGGCATTGTCGACGACGTCGAGGCCCCGCACGACGAAGGAGGGCAGAGAATGGACGGGGGCGAGCTCAAGCCTGATAAGGTGGGCTGGAAGCTCGGTTGGAGAGGCCGTGAGCACGCCAAGATGGGGGCCGAGATGAGAGCCATCGAGAAGGAGGCAGAGGACAGGCTCTTCGGAAGACGGTCAAGCGCTGCCCGGACTGGAGAGGGATCGGAAAGGAAAGCCAAACCTGTCGGAAAAGGTCCAAACGGTCTCTCCAGCTCGTTGTCCAACACGAACCCTTGGGACTTTTGGTCTCAGGCACCCCTGGCGAGAAGGAAGCTCTGGGGCACCGACGTCTACACGGACGACTCGGACGTGCTTGCCATGTGCGTCCACGCAGGGTGGGTGGAAGGTCCGTCGCTCGAGAGCGAAGGCGTTCCGAGCTGGGTGCCACCGGGTAGGGCGGCGAGGGCTTGGAAGAAGCTCGGGATGAGGGTGGGCGAATCGAGCCCGAGTGGTTCATCAGCCAAAGGCGATGGTGGTGGTGGCGGCCAAGGCGACGAAGGTGGAGACGTGTCCATGACCGATGTCGAGACGTCGCAGAGGAAGGATGGACGCCTACTCGAAAGGCCGGCCGACCTGTCGGTGATCCTGAGGATCGCGCCGAGGCTCATAGCGTACAAGGGATGTCAGAGGGGAGGCATCAAATCCAGGAGCTGGGGTAACGGCCACGACGGGGTCAGCTTGGTGGTCGAAAGCGTCGAGCTACGAGCTGTGAGTGTGGGAAAGTGATTCTGAAGGGAAGCGTTGCTGACCAGTAGCTGACTGGCTGATTGGTCACTTCATCCTTCTCTTTCTTTCTTTCTTTCTTTCTTCCTTTCTTTCTTCCTCCCTCTCCCTTCCCCTTTCTGTGCGCTGCAGCCCGGATTCGCCACTTCCTCTGGCCGGAAATCAGCCAAGGCCAGGATGGATCAGTTGGCGAGGCTGAGGATGGAGGCGACCATGTCGGGACCTCCAAGCATCCCTTCCTGCCCAGCACTCGGTCTGGAGCAGGACGAGGCGATCCTCGCGGTGGATGGGGAAAGCCTGGACCTCAGCAGCCTCAAGAGGAAGAGGTCGGAAGATAAATCCGACCAGATCGATTACCTCCTGAGGATCTTCTCCCGATCGTACAACAAGGACGGCGAAGGCCACCAGCAGATCAAGCTGGAAAAGCTGGAGGAAGGCTTCACGATCCCCACTTGGATCTCGATGGAGGACATCCTGGTGGCCAAGAAGAGGTGGACCGAGATGAGGTCGAACGATGCCGCCAACCACCCGCCTCCCCTGACCACCGAGGGAAAGGAGGGAAAGCAGAATGAGGAGGCAGACGTCATAAGGGCGTTCTGGCAGATCCCTGTGCCCAAGTCGAATGCCTAGATCTACCCTCGGGGAGGTCGCTTTTCTTTTTTCTCAAAACCCCCCTCCCCCCCCTTTCCTTTTTTCACTTTCTCTTTTGGTCCTTTCATTGCTCTCAATGCCCCACGTCTTCTCGGCTTCACCTTTCGATTTCTCCACTCTGCCTCGTCCGTTCGGAGCAAGGAATGGTGTTAAAAAGTTTGATTTGAAGAAG